TTTTTTTTTTTGTATTTTTAGTAGAGACGGGGTTTCACCGTGTTAGCCAGGATGTGCTCCATCTCCTGACCTTGTGATCCACCTGCTTCCCAAAGGGCTGGGATTACAGGCGTGAGCCACAGCGCCCGGGCTGAATTTCTTTTAAAAGGTTTTGAAAAGTAGAATGGTTTAGTTAATAAACTCAGACAAATAGTTTTGGTGACCATGTCTTTTAATTGAAGCATATCATAAAGAGTTTGGGACTACTTTAAGAAGTTTCTAGGCTACGCGTGGTGCTCAGGGCTGTTATCCCAGCAGTTTGGGAGGCTGAGGTAGGTGAATCACCTGAGGTCAGGAGTTCGAGACCAGCCTAGCCAACATGGCAAAACCCCATCTCTACTAAAAATACAAAAACTAGCCGGATATGGTGACACAGGTCTGTAATCCCAGCTACTTGGGAGGTTGAGGCAGGAGAATCACTTGAACCCAGGAGGTGGGGGTTGCAATGAGCAGAGATCATGCCACTGCACTCCAGCCCAGCCTGCGGAGCGACTCTCCATCTCAAATAAATAAATAAATAAATAAATAAATATTCTCATCCCCAAATAGAAATTATAACAAATGTATTTTGAACTAAATCATGACTTTGTTAAAATAAATTCAAAGCATACATCTTAGGCAGTGGTGGTATGTTTGTACAAAATGTATGTACGAATAAGTGTATATATGTATGTGTATATATTTGTGTATATATATATCTGTGTGTGTGTATGTACACATATGTTTTTTCACAATAGAGGGCTAACCTTACAAATTTTCAGATTTCATTGATATATTTCAGCCAATGTTTCCACCTTACAAACCTTGACTAACATGCTTCTTCAAGTTTTGTTTTATAAAAATTTCAAAGTTCAGAGATATCAAAAAAGTTGACTATGTCAATGCTAATTTTTTTTCCTTGTAATGATAAGGTATCTTTTCCTTTAAGAAAAGCTCCTGTTAATATAAGGGCTTTATTAAATCTGATTCCTAGCTTATCATATTTTGCTTTTTAGAGAAGATTTTAAAACATATTTAGTTTTGTTTGCAACTATTTTACATAGGATTCCTTATGATCCTGACTCCTGAGATACACTTACAGTAAGCCATTGACGTCAGCAACAGAACGGGTAAAACACAGCCCGTAATTTTTTGTGTGCGTTATTTTAATCAATACTCCCCCTGCTGTTTTAACAGGAAAAAAGCCCCAAGGACAGCTCTTATTACCAGATGTTTATAGAATGATTTTGCTATTAGAGAAGCATTAAAAACAAAGTCAGAAGTCGAGGCAAATTAATTTATTAACTTTATTTATATAGCTATTCCATTTTAATTCACACTATTAATCTAAGTAGGAAAAACAGATACTGGAGGCAATTACTTTTCTTTTACTGAGATAATTTCATAGCACCATTATACTTTGGTGGTAGTTTTATTTTTCTATCCTTTCATTTTGACTTTACTATTTTTCATGAAATTTGGAAATTTTTTCTCCAGTAAACCTAACAAGTGAATAAACAATGCAGTCTAACATTAAATGTGATGCAGATTTGTAACCATCTTGTTTGCCTCTCTTTCTCTGCAGGCACTCCATCTGCACTGTGTACATTGAAGTGCTTCCACCAAATAATCAAAGCCCTCCTCGCTTCCCACAGCTGATGTATAGCCTTGAAATTAGTGAAGCCATGAGGGTTGGTGCTGTTTTATTAAATCTACAGGTATGTTCCTTGGGGTGTGTGTGTGTGTGTGTGTGTGTGTGTCTGTAAATTCTAAAGTGACAAGCGTGGCATTTAATGAGTTTACATTTGTGTATGGAGGGAAAAACCTCACATGCTGCCTCCACTCTAGTGAATGAAAGTTCCATCTGGAAAGGAAAGCAAGGGTAATATGAACGGAGGGTTTCCACAGCTAATCTATTCTATTGATCACCACAATTGAAGAACTAACATTTGGCTGGTAGGGATTAGCTGCAATCATTACAGGAGAGAATGAAGGGATTGGAAACACGTACTTGAATATTTTGTACTTTGGATCCAAAGAGTCTGCAGCTGACTATTATTTTCTGTCTTGTGTGCCTTTTCTCCAGCTGGATTTATTTTTGCTGCAGTCTTGTATAGGGGAATTAACTTTGTACTCAAAGGCTGATGGTAGGCATTTTAATTCTGAGACAAGCCCCACTTCATTTCATGGCCATAGGCAAATCTTGTAATTGCTGTTTTTTATTCATTTATGAGAAGGGGGTAGTTTTAGCTGACATTTTTACTTGTAGCTAGAGATTCATGAGCATATATATTACTTGCAAGATGATAGCTTGGTGTTCACTGTTTATATATTTCTGACCAAAGTATCTTTGGCCAGGAAAAGCTCTATCTTTGAATATGCAGCTTCAAGTTGGGCTAAATATGGTGTTGATATATTTTCACTTTGCTATGCCAATCATAAGAATCATAAGATGATGCATTGTTTTATACATGAATGTTCAGGGAACAGAGTTTATCTTCTGATGTTACATGGGAATTGCAGAAGTTGCTGATATGAGAATTCATGAAGCTGGTCTTGAAGCCTAGGGGAGATTTTAACATGACTGACCCAGGAAAATTCCAGCATCAATCTTTATCATCAGCTGACATGACATAAGGCACAGCTACATCTTGCTCAAATCCCATTCGAATATTAACACCCTCTCACTTAAATCTGGGTGATATAAAAGTGAAGATTTCATAGAATGCTTGTATTAAAAATGATGCAAAAATAACAGAACACATCAATCTTATTTTTGAGATGTGGAAAGCTAACCCCATAGAAAGTAATTGATGCTTAAAATCAGTTGATTGAGTTTTCATCACTTCTAAAACGGTGATTTCTGTTATATCCTACTGATTACTAATAGCTACTGAAATTTTCTTGGCATTACCAAGTACTTCTTTGGGTCTCTACGCTAATATTTATTCTGTTGCTTTTCTCCAGGTACTCAGACAGAGTTTGCTTTAATTGATCATTTAATATTGAAACAAAATTATATGAAGGTAGAGATATTAGTAATATGGAAGTTTGGAGGATTTTAGTGAAATAATTAAAAGAAAGAGAATAAAACCTACAGTCTCTTTAGGAGAAAAAAAGTCAAATTATTGTAATGATAAAGAATAGAAAAAAACAAATATTAAGACATGTTCATTTAATGGAATAATAAGATCTTTGTCTTTACATTCATGGGAATTCATTCATTGAAGCAAAAAAATAAGAGAAAGAAAAGGAAAACAAAATAAATCTTACATGTGTAAGATTCAGGTCAAGAAATTATACATTTTGTATTTAAATATGTCTCAAGTATGTGCCTTTATGTAATTTAACTTCCTATGAAGTAAGACATAATTTTACTTGTAAAGTGGCTCAGGTTTCATTTTAATAAAATCCAGGAAGATTTAGGAAACATATTATAGTTCAATAATTCTCCCTGTGAGTTAAAGATGAAAAGAAGTTAGCCTTTTTCGTATTTCAAATTTCTCTGGTACAAAGGCTGAAAAAACACTTGAAATGACATTTCTATTCACCCTTTGTGCTTCTGGTATGAGGAAAAGAAAGGATGCCAACTGTAGTGGCAGTCTCTATTAGAAAGAACGAGGGTGATACCATGAAAGTACTTTTCACAGGCCACTAACCACCCACTTTTGTTCATGATCAACTGAGACTGCATTTAAGCTACTGACCTAAAAGTTGGAAAGCTTCCATCAAATTACTCTTCCAAAGTCTTCTAATAAGAAGATGCATTAGAGGTACCCTGGCTGCCTCCGTCCTCATTCTTTTCACACTCTAGCGCTACCTACTGCTGACTCACTGCTCAATTTGGAAGACAGAATTTGTGAGGAAATATAGTTTTGAAGATAGCAGCAAATTGGCTTCAAACTAATCTGTTTTGATGGAGATCTAAGTGATTTCTTTTAAGACAACAATTCTTGTTTCCCCCCTTCCCACTTCTGCTTTTAAGAATGGGCCTTTTATGCTATCTAAAAGTTGTTCGAGGAGCAGTGATTTTCCTCAGTGCATGAATGCTGTTTTGCCTGACTGCTTTATTGACAGCGTTTACTGGAGGAAAATATTACTAGGGCTCCTCTTTCTCAAACCTGTTATGCTGATCAGGGTTAGTTATAGGAAGATGTTTTTCCTCCAGACTTCTGACCGGCCAGTGAAACTTGTCACAGTCAAATGCTGGAGCCAGACCACGGCGAAATCATGAGAGCCAGTCATGTGCATCTCTTCCTGACTCTGTGTGCAGTTATGTCTTGTTACCAGCTAAACATTGCTATGGTGGGCATACTTACGCCACAGAAATCATCAAATACAACGAATCAGTGTCTTTCACTTCAAAGTTTTTTTGTTAAGCGTTCATCAGCACACCACCCAATACAGAGAGAATTCCCTCAAGTATTTACATCACCAGAGTATGTTCACTCAAGCAGTTTCCTGCCTCTTTGTCTCTCTGAATTTTTTATGTATTTTTATCATACTAAAGAGAGGCAAGGGTACTAAATAAAACTATGTTTTATACTCAAATATTCAAGTATTTCTCTTCTTCACAAAAGCATTATTTCCTTCCAAATTACCTTTTCATGTAACTCACATTCCATTTGGCCCACCCCACCACCATTTGCATATTTCTCCTTTTTTAGACATAAAGTTTCCATGTGTCATCTCTGCCGTCTCATCCCATAAAATAGTAACACAGTTGACCCTTGAACAACCCAAGTTTGAAATGCACAGATCCACTTATATGCAGATTTTTTGAGAAATATAATATAAATCCTGCCTATTTGGAGAGCCAATCTTTTGTATACAAAGGGTTGCATAAGACCCACTGTGGGACTTCAGAATGTGTGGATTTTTTATATACTCAGACGTCCTGGAACCAGTCCCCTGTTTACCTCCAGGGAGATGTAATTAACACTTAGTGTGGCACTTAATATGGGGTCATGCACTGTTTATTTACTTTAAATTCTTTGCTTATGGTATCATTAAGGATAGTTAGCTCATATTAGGGATACATACACAAACTCAAAATCTCAGTGATTTAAAACAAATAATATATATTTCTTACTCACACTGTATGTCCATCATGGATCATCTCCAGCTCTGCTTTTCATCATTTGTACTTCCCTTCAGAATAATGGAGTAGCTTGTATCTAGGGAAATGTTATTCTAATAACAAACAAACTATAATTTAAAAAATGGGCTAGTTCATAGAGTTTGATAAATCAGTGTTCAACAAGTTATCTTAATTCAAATTATTACTCGTTTTTACCATAATATATATTGATCGTTTCAGTTTATTTCTAATTTTTTACTTACAAACCGAGATATGTTACTGAACATCAGCTGCGTTAACTTTCTTTTAAGAGGCTATATTTCTTTGACAAATGTATAATGCATTATTTCACTTGGTCATTAACCTGCCCAAACAAACAGGTGGATCTTACTATCGTTATCATCAGGAAAATGAAAAGAATGAGACTCAGAAACAGAAAGGTTTATGAGTCACATTAGTTTTTCTCATTTTGATTAAAAACTCAGGACCCTATCCACTACATCACATTCTTTTAGATTAGGCTGTAGAGAACTATAATGTTTATTTTACCTGTTTTGGGAAGGATGTAAATGTTTTGTATTACATTAGTTCTGTATTTTCCAAAGGTTAATTTTGTGATGTTATATTGGGGTAAATGTACTAATGTTTAAAAATATATACATTTGTTTTAAGGCTCTTATGAAGAAACACTTTAGAGAAATACGAATTGACTGTTTTCCTCACTTGGAGATTATAGAATAGAATACAGATAAAAACCTGAATAAAGCACAGTTGAGCAAAAGTTATTAATTTCTCAGATTTTATCTCAAAAAGTTCCTGATTCTGAGTACAATACTCTAAAAAATTCGAGTAAGAGAGGTCTCAAATAGTACTAGATAACATTATTTTATAAATAGATGAGGTTGAAATTTTAGCTAGTCAAGTGTTATTATAGAAAAAGTCTGGCTAAGATTGAGAGAAGAAAATCCAAGAGAAATTCACCCAAAAAGGGAAGATCACCATTCAATACTCTAATCGAATAGCTGCTTAGATTTGAGTCAGTACAACTAAAACAGGGGAGAGAACATTGGAGAGAAATGTGGTGGTGGACTGAGCAGTTGACAAGAAAGCATGAGCTGTCCCCTTGAAGATCTTGCCCAGTATTGTAGGTGAGATCGATCCTGCCTGGATCCATAAATCTCAGAGTTTGTGCTTCTAATTATAAATTATAAAATAAAGAACACTGCAACATGTGAAGAAGAGAAGTATGCACATCAAGATGTAACACGAGGCTACCACCTGGACATTAACTAAAAGATATATTAGAATTCCATAAGGTGCCACTAGTTCACAGGATTGTTGCTTGATATTGAGCCTCTTAATGGTGGAATTTACTGGGAGTCATTCCTCTAGCACAGTAATCCTAGAGCAACCTCAATACAGATAATTCCTTTAACAAATACATTTTTTCTTTCTTCATCCTCTCTATCCCAGCAACAGAGGGAAAATAAAAGGAAAAAAGACAAGAACATGTGTGAGATGATCACATCCACCCACCTTGTTCCCAGTCCTTAGAAACAAAATTAGTTTCAAAATAATGAAGAAAATAATTAAAAAATAATGAGTAAGGCATCATATTAATTAAAATGAGACAGTTTT